TTTTATATCGTGGCGATCCTGTAAGTTGTAACGCGTTGCCAACAGCAGTACCTGTGCGGGAGTGCAGATGGTGACCGAAACCCTCGACGAAATCAGCTATGTCCGATTTTTTCATCTACGAGCTAGAATGCGGTCTGGTGGACTACACCTCAGAGAAGCACGTGAACGACGCCATCTCACCTTGCCCTGGCGTCTTTGTCACAGACGGGAAGTCGGGATATGACGCGATCGAGAAGAGTGAGTCAGCTGGCCTCGGACTACGTGGCAAACGCACGGGTATCGAGTGCCTGGGCATTCGACAGCAGAAGGAGCAGACGGCCCTTTCAGATACGCTGGGTGCACAGCGATGCTATGCTAACGGACGGACTGACGAAAGATCGAGCGGCCAAGGTCTTACTCGATATTTTCAGATCAGGACAGTGCTGGAGGTTGGTGTCAGGAAGCGCGAGGCCGCGGGCATCGACAAGCTCGATCATGGCAAGCCACTACCCGACGAAGATGAAGATGCAGTCCTGGAGGCTTTGCTCTATTCCGCCCGCGACAACCCCTACGAGCAGCATTACCCTGCTGGAGATATAGCCCTATCGGGGCACGGTGAGACCGCCCCCGCGCTCTGTGCTATCTGTGAAGTCAGGAGTCAGCAGCAGGCCTCGACGTCAGCACATCGATCTTTAACTTTTGGGCATGCAACTCACATCCCAGAGCCTGCCGGACAAGAGCCTGCTTACGACAGGTGGCCTCTAGAGGCCGAGTGTGATTTACTATGTGCACCCAGGCTCCACAGGAGCCGCCGTTTTATGTAATTTTGGGTTTCACGGCGTATCGTGCTTCCTACACTCTACCTGCATCTTAGCCATGCGTAGTGGTCTCCCCGAGGTCCCCTGAAGAGCCCCGAGCCCCAGAGGTTCATTACAAGCGTTTCACAAAACGTTTCTGCCGAAACCGTCTTGGCTCAAGCCTATGCAGCGACAGAGTGTCGCAGGGCTTCTGGCGTGCGCCCCCGAGGCGCAGGATTGCGAGCTGGCCCGCAATATCAACAAGCAGCTTCCTTCCAGGACCAGCGTGTGATCAGCATCGCACTACACTGCCCGACCTCGTACATATATGTATATATATATATATGTGTATATGTGTATATGTGTATATGTGTGAGTAGGCCGGGGGAGGGGCCCGGGCCAGTGCGACCATCCCCCGGACCAGGGGTCACAGAACCCCCGGGACTGCCCCGGGCCGCTTCCAAATTGCCCACGACAGGCCACGCGGGCCGTACAGGTGGTCAAGAAATCCCCTGAAGACGCCCAAGAGCGCCCCAAGAGGGCCCGAGATGGTTTCCAGAAAATGGCCGACGAAGGCCCCAAGAGGGCACTCAAGAGGCACAAATCGGCCCATTCCATTCGTAAAACGTACGTTGTCAGCATACTCGCTGGTTTCGTCTTCGAAGTGCCCCAGACTCCCCCGCGGAACCCCAACACAGCCCAAGAGAGACCCAAGAGGGCCCCAGGCGGCCCAAAAGGGTCGGCCTGTGGGGCTCACGGACCCCCCCCGAGACGGCCCAAGAGGCCCCAAAGCAGGCCTGCCTCACGGAGGCCCAAGAGAGCCTCGTTCGAAGTCATGTTCCCGGTAGCCTCGCCGGGAACATGATCTCCGCGTTCCCAGGGCGCCCAAGAGGCCCACAAGACAGCGCCAGCGAGGCCCACACAGGCCCGAGATGGCTTGAATAGGGCCGGAAAGGGCCCCAAGAGGGCGTTCACGAGGCAAACATCGGCCCGTTCCCAACGCAAAACGTAATTCAGCATACTCGCTTGCTTCGTCTTCACAGTGCCCCAGACGCCCCCGCGGAGACCCAACACAGCCCAAAAGAGACCCAAGGTGCCCAGGAGACCCCCAAGACGGCGTCAGGGAGACCCAAGAGAGCCTCGTTCGACATCATGTTCCTCGAAAACTCTCCGGAAACATGATTTCCGGGTTCCAAGGGCGCCCGAGAGGCCCACAAGACAGCCTCAGCGAGGCCCAAGAGGGCCCGAGATGGCTTCAAGATGGCCGAAGAGGGCCCCAAGAGGGCCTTCAAGAGGCAAGAATCAGCCCGTTCCTTTAGTAAAACGTGAATTTTCAGCATACTCCCTTGCTTCGCCTTCGCAGTGCCCCAGACGCCCCCGAGGAGCTCCAACACAGCCCAAGAGAGACCCAAGATGGCCCAAGACGGCCTGAAAGGGTAGTCCTGTGGGGCTCACGGAACCCCCCAAGACTGCCCAGGAGGCCCCAAAGCCAGCCCAGGAGGCCCCCAAGACGGCCTCCAGGAGGCCCAAGAGGGCCTCGTTCGACATCATGTTCCCGGAAGCCGCTCCAGGAACATGATTTCCAGGTATCCCAGGACGCCCAAAGACAGCCCCCAGAGGCCCCGGACACGCCGAAGATGGCCTCAGGACGGCTGACGACGCCGCCAAAACGCCCCAAGAGCGCCTCCAGAGGGCCCTCCAAGGGCCCCAGACGCCGAACATGATACATTCACCAAAATTGTTTTTGAAGCATTCTTGCGCTCTCCCATGTTCCGCCTCCCCACGGTCCCGGACCGCGTCAGAGGCCCTTCAGATCGTTCCAAGACAGCCGAAGAGGCTCCCAAGAAAGCCCAGAGACGGCCCAGGAGGCTCCCCAGATACGTCAAGAGGGCCTCGAGAGCGCCTCAAGAGAGCCCCAAGAGCGACCCAAAGGGCCCGAAGAGCGCGACATTTCAAGGTCTCCGGCCTGAGAGGCTCCTAGGACGCCCCCGGAGGCCATCAAGAGGCTCCCAAGAAACCCCGTGAGGCTCCCAAGAGGCCCCCCAGAAGCTCCAATAGGCCTCCAAGGGGCCACCAGGGAAGCCCCTTGCGGGCCCCCAAGACACTTCGGTAACTCGTATTTCCCAGATAGCTTTCCGGGAACATGATTCCTTGGCTTCCGCCCACCGTCCCAACAATGTTTCCAACAGGCTTGCGGACAAGGCCAACATGCGCCCCTTGGTAAGCCCCCAGAGGCCTCCCTCTTAGAGAGCCAAACAAATCATGCTCCCGGGAAGCTTCCCGGGGACCATGATTCTCTATATCTCGGAGTAGGCCCAGGGTGGGGAGGGGGGGCGGGCCGCTGCCTGTTCCCCCCATCGGTGCCCGCCGAGAGTTGCGGGGGGGGGGTCCAGAGCTCCGGAGACGGCCCGAGCCCGCCGCGAAGCAGGCCACGACAGGCTAAGGGAGCCCCAAAAACCCCGAGACGGTCCCACGAGGCCCCGAAGACGCCCAAGATGCCCTCAAGACAGCCGACGAGGACTCCAACACGCTCCAGGACGGACTCAAGAGGCTCCCCAAGAGGGCCCTGAAAGGCAAGATTCACTCGGTCTGCGTGTGTTTTCGATTTTGGCGTTCTCGCTTTTCCCGCTTTCCAGCGCTCCCTTCACGGTCTCGGAGACCCTTCAGATCGCTCCAAGAAGGCCCACGAGGCCCCGACGAGGGCCCCAAGACGGCCCCGGATGCTCCCCAGATAATCCAAGTGTGCCCCAAGAGCGCGCCAAGAGAATGCCCAGAGGAACCCGAGGCGGCCCGGGCCCGCCCCCAAGCAGGCCACGACAGGCTAATGGAGGTCCCGAGAGGGCCCTAGGCGGTCCCAAGAGGCTCCGAAGACGCCCAAGCAGCCCTCAAGACGGCCGACGAGGACTCCAACACGCTCCAGGACAGACACAAGAGGCTCCCCAAGAAGGCCCTCGGAGGCAAGATTCCCTAATTTTCCTATGGTTTTTGAAGGATTTAGGCGTTCTCGCTTTCCCCGCTTCCCAGCGCTCCCTCACGGCCTCGCTCGGAGGCCCTTCAGATCGCTCCAAGACGGGCCACGAGGCCCCGAAGAGAGCCCGAAGAGGGCCCAGGAGGCTCCCCAGACAACCCAACTGTGCCCCAAGAGCTCCCCAAGAGAGGGCCCAGAGGGGGACCGCCAACCGATATTTCGAGGTCTCTGGCCCTAGAGGCCGCCTGTAGGCCCCCGGAGGCCACCAAAAGGCTCCCACGAAGCCCCGTGAGGCGCCCAGAAGGCCCCAAGGGAACGCCCAAGAGGCCCCCCGACACACCCGAAGAAATCATGCCTCGAAAAACCTTCCGGGGACATGGTTCATCATGGGCCCGAGAGTTTCCGGAGGCCCCCAAGCGGCCCCCAGGGAACGCCCAAGAGACCCCCCAACACACCCCAACAAACCATGTCCCCAGAAAGCCTTCCGGGGGCATGGTTCATCATGGGCCCGCGAGTCTCCGGAGGCTTCGAAGTACCATCATGCTACAGGAGAGCTGTCTGGGAAGTTGATTGGGAACATGCTTGATTGCCTTCTCGCGGCCCTCCGCAGATCGTTTCGCACAAAGTTCCCCCAAGTGCCCTCTTGAACCGACGACGACGACGACATTACGACGATGACGACGACGACTTCGACGACGACGACGACGACGACGACGACGACGACGACGACGACGACGACGACGACGGCACGCCCCAACAGGCTCCCCACGACGCCACCAAACCCATGTTACCAGAAAGCCTTCTGGGAACCCGATTCATACGGCCTCCGCCCCCCTACACAGCCACTTTCCTCGAAGGCCTTTCGGAATGCAGATTGGCATGCGTGTACTGTGGTCCACTACTTCAGTGGAGCAGTGAATTCATCAAGGCCTGGGGCCTGCTAGAACCTGAGCGCGCGCGAAGTGCGCGCGATGGTTCTATATATATATATATATATATATATATATATATATATATAAAAATATGTCTATCAAGATATATCAGACATTGTCAGAGGAGACAGGAGAGAAGTCAACATTACACCAGGGCAGTGGTTCTCAGCGGGACCACTGCGCCCATATCCTGCTGGGTCCCGTTTGTGCCTGCACGCTTGTGACCGCTCGTGTGACGCTGCGAACCGGAGGAGGAGGAGGAGGAGGAGGAGGAGGAGGAGGAGGAGGAGGAGGAAGAGGAGTAGCGGGCGATGTCTCCTGCAGGAGTGCACCGCGGACCAAGAACACCACGGCCCCGTCCTCTCGGTGAACATAGGCGGCGCCGCTGCCCTCGGCCGTCTCCGGGGGCGCGCACCGTCGCGAGAGGGAGCGCGCGGGGGCGGTGGAGGACGCCCTCCTCCAGCAGGCGCTCACGACCACTAGCCAGGGCTTTGTCAGGGCAGCTTGCCACTGGGCTTGTGCCCTCTGTCGCCAGCTCGTCTCGGGCTCGCAGTTGGAGGCGGCGTCTGCCACGCCGTGGCCGTTCGGCGGGGAGCTCTGGCGAGACTCGCCCGGCCGATGTCATCACGGCGGCGGGGCTGAGGAGTGGGTGGGGGGCACGCAATTTCATCGAAGAAGACTGAACGCTACAAACATGAATTGTTGGCGCTCCGCGCGGATTTTTTGGATCCGCGCTTGGGCCCCCTGGCGGCGCCTCCAGCGCCGCCCCTGGCGCGCTCTGCGCGCCAGGAAGGGGGGTCCAGCGCAGATCCAAAAAATACGCGCGGAGCGCCAAAAGTTTATGTTCATGTCGTTGTTTATTGTTCTATGTCATTCGCCCCACCGAGTGGAGCTGTGGCCGCGCAACAGCCTGTATTGTTTACGCTTCGCGAATCCCCGCCAGCCCATTCAGAAGCCCTGCCCGTGAGAGCTGATGGGAAAAGGGACGAAGAGACACATATACTGAAACAGAGCGTGCGAGGAGAGGAGAGGAAGGAGGGTGTTGAGCCGTCTTGGAGGCTACGTTTCTCTTGGAGCTCTTCCAGGGCATCTTGGGGCCCTCTTGGGGCCCTCTTGGGGCTCTTTGGGGGCTCTTGGGGTCCTCTTGGGGCTCTTTTGGGGCGTCTTGGGGCCCTTTTGGGGCTCTCCTGGGGCTCTCTTGAGGCCCTCTTGGGAGCTATGGGGCGCCTCCTGGGGCCATATTGGAGACAATCGATCAAAAGAGGGGGGGTCCTAGATTTCCCTCCCCCCTCTGGGGCCATCGAAATAGCCTCATGGGGCGTTCTTGAGGCCCTCTTGGGCCGATCTTGGGCGCTCTTGGGGCAGTCTTGGGGGCATCTTGGGCCCTTCTTAAGGCTTCAAAGGCGCATCGGAAGCGACAAGGCGAGAAGGCACACATCAGTGAGTTTCTCTAAGTGTTTGAAGAATGATGTTGGCCTGTCAGGGAGGTCCCGAGGGGTCGTCAAAAGCACCTGGAACCGTCTTGCGGCCCTCTTGGTTGGAGGCCACCTTGGGCTCTCTGAGGCCCTCTTGGAGCCATCTCAGATTATCTTGGACGCCCTGACCGCTCGCGAAGCCCCCCGTCCAGGTCCAGGGGATGGGGGTATTGGGAGGGGTCCAGATCCCCACCCGCCCGCGAGCCGCCTAGCTCGTTCCCACCCGCCCTCCCAACACGTGAGTAGTAGCACCCGGGCCGAAGCATGTTCCGCGGTCGTCTTTGGCTGGGCAGCTGCGAGAACCACAGACCCCAGGTGTGCGACGCTCGGGCGAGGTGCGCCACGCGTGCCAGGGGCGCCACACGCGCGCCAGGCACGGGGCCCGAGCAATGCCAGGCACGCCTGGGGCGCCAGATGCGCCACGTGCCACGAGTGCGCCAGGCGTGCCGCACACTCCAGCCGCGCCAGGTGCGCCACGCTCGGGGCACGTGCAGAGTGCGTCAGGTGCGCCTGCGCACGTGACAACACATATCGGGAAACATGTCGGCCCCCGCCATCCTTGTGGAAAACCAAGGCCCATCATTGTGTCCGGGGGCCTGCGCACGGCAGGCCACGCGCCACCACACACCCGCTGTCCCTGTCCAAGACCGCTTGGCAGTGATCGCGGGATGGTCGCGCATGATCCAGATTTAGCCGCCAGGTGCATGATGATTTGTTTGTCAGGGATGGTAGCCCTGCGCACAGCAGGAACTGTGCTGACACCCCCGCCGTCCCTGTCAAAAAAAATACAAAGTGCTCGCGGGCCTCACGAACATGACTCAAGACTTGACCCCCAAAGTGTACTTTGCATTGTTTTTTGACGGATGGCGGAGGGGGGGGCATCAGGTTGGCCGCGTGTGCTCCAAATGTGGAGGCAGTTTGCGGTTTGCATTGTTTTTGTTCAAAGGGATGGGGGGCGGGCTCGCATGGAGTCGGCATGGTCGGTAAGGAACAGTGATAAACCCCTCCCACAAGGGGAAGAAGGGTTTTTCGACGAGGAAAGACATCGTTAGACCACCTGCGCCCAGAGGGCTGGTAGGATTTCTGCGCTCGGTGCGGGTGCACGGCCGCGACCGATCCTCGACATCTTCTGGGGGAGTGCGTTGAGGCCACCCACAAGGGGCGCGAAAACCTGGCGCGGATCCAGAAGGGGCTGCACCCAGGTCGGCGCGTCCTTGCGGCAGCGACTGCCTGCCACCTGGGGCGAGTGAGGAGACCAGAGGCTCTCCGGCACCTGGTCTGCTGCGTCCGTCTCCTTCGGGCTTGCCGTAGGTAGGCCCCCACGTTCTGTGGGTGTCAGGCAATTCCGAGGCAATTTCCGACCTCCTCCTCCTCCTCTTCCTCCTCCTCCTCGTCCTCCTCCTCCTCCTCCTCCACCCCCGCTTCTTCTCCTCCTACTCCTCCTCCTCCTCCTCCTCTTCTGGTTTCCTCCCTCCTCTTCCCTCTTCCTCATCCGCCCCCTTCGCCCCTTGCTCCAGGCCCCCCTTTTCATCCTCTGCTCTCTCAACAACCTCGTCCTCCTCCTCGTCCTCCTCCTCCTCCTCTTCCGTTGTCCCTCCTCCACCCCAATATCCCTTTTCTTCTTCCTCCGCATTTTCCCCACGTCCTTCTTCTGCTGCTCATCCTCCTCGACCTCTTCCCCCCTTCTTCCCCGGTGAGTGGAAAAGACGGCGCCCGTGGAGGATCAGGAGAGAGAAGAGCAGGAAGAGCGACTCCAGCGCAACGGGGGGACGCGGAAACGAGAAAGAACAGACGGCACCCTGGGGGGCCAGAGGGCTTTCTGGCTGGGATGGCGGCTGCCCGCGTGCGGTGGAATCCAGGGGCCTCGTGGACTCTCCTGGGGCGGCTTCGGGGGAGAGCGGAGATCTCAATGAGCAGGCCCCCGCAGTTGTGGCCGCGGGCGTTCCATGGCCCCCCCAATCCCCGAGGTCCCCCCCAAAACAATCCACCAAGAGAGCAGGCCGTTTCCACCAGGACCCAAGGACGAGGCGGGTGGCACGGGGGGAAGAGGTCGCGCGGGTTGCAGCGGCGGGGGAGGAGGGGAGGCATGCGCTGAACTGGTCTCGGCCAGGCGGGGAGAACGGTCGAGAGGAGAGGGGGAGGAGAAGGAAGGCTTCTGCTCCTTCCTCGTTATGACCCTGATGCGTTGGGCGCACGCGAGGCGAAGCTACGGTCGGCGCCCGATGTATCGAGTTTCGCTGGGCTCCGTTTCCCCTCCTTGTCTCTGTGCGACTCCTTTGCTCGTCCCTTCTGGCCCCCTCCCTCCTCCTGCACCCTTCCTTACTCGCCCCTCGTCGCTCCCTCCCGCATCCCTCCTCCTCCCTCGTCCCTCGTCCCTCCCGCCATCCCTCGTTCCTCGCCCCTCGCATCCCTCGTTCTTCGCCCCATCGTCCCTCCTCCTTCGTCCCTCGTCCCTCTGCATCCCTGCCCGTCCTCCTGCGCCGCTCCCCGTCCTTCGCCCCTCGTCCCTCTGCGCCTCCCTCCCGCCCCCCCCCCCCCTTCCAGCCCCCGCACTGGGAGCCCAGGAGGGCCCCCGCGCCCGACCGCGCGGGCCCGCGCCCCCCCCCCCCCCTTCGAGCACCTCGGAGCGACTTTGCCCTCGTCGGCCACCCTGAGCCTCGGCACCGCTCGGGGGTGTGCACTTTTTTCTCGGCGAGGACCCTCGAGGAGCACCCTCGAGCACCCTGCGAACAGAATGCACGTGCGAGGTCGACACATACACAGGACAGGGAAAATGTACGTCCCAGCGATGGCGGAGCTCAAGGGACGGGGGTCAATGCACACGGGGGTCAGTCAGGGCGCCGGATCTTGCAGAGGGGCGCACTGACCCAGGTTTATCCTGCAAGGCCTGACTGACCCGGGCTTGCATTGACCCGAGCCGGAAGATCCCCGACGATGTCATATGTGGGTGCGGTTATAGCCCCCTGGAACGGGGAGCGGGTTTGACGCTCAATCGAACCTGTCTTGCCCATGAGCGGGCATCGGGTGCTCGTGCTCTTTGTGGGGGGAAGTGTTTGGGGGTGGAAATAGAAGACCCCCGACAATGGCAAGTCCACGAGCATGCTGAGCATCCCTTCGCCACACCTTCCTCTGCGTGGCCGCCGCCTGCGCCCTCGGCCCCGCCTGCGATCGGAGCCTCGTGCCTGCCGCGTGCGGCTCGGGAGGGCCACCGACTTCAGGTCGTCGGCTTTCGGCTGCGACCTGCTTCGCCGAGAACAAGAGAGCCCTTAGCCCGAATAACACGATGAAGACGTGGCCTCACTGAGCTCGCCGTCTGTGCATTTGGACAAAAACATCTGGACGGTCTGTTTCGGCACATCTGCAGAGAAGGCCCCCCTATCCCCAACATAGGTCCCCTCCAAACAGGTTCGGGTCCTTTTTGGGGTTACTCACTGCGCTATCCCTACTCCTCCTCCTCCTCCTCCTCCTCTTCCTGTTCCTCCTCCGTGTCCTCCTCCATCCTCCCCCTCTTGGGACAGGACGTCTTTCCCAGTCCTTTCTTCCATTGTAGTCTCCTCCAAGGCAACTTGTCTGGGCATCGTTTCTGGATTGGCTGGTAGGGTTACTTGTTTTTTCAGTCGCGGCCGCAAGCGGAAGCGCAGGCGGCGTCCGAAGTCAGCCGGGGCAGCGAGCCAAACCTAATTACCTAAGCGCGCGAGGTAACGGCCGCCGGATCTGCCACCGAGGGACGCCGAGCGACGCCGGGGACTGAAGGCAGAGCTGCAGGAGGTGCCAGGTGTGCCAGTCGGCTGAAGTGCAACCGTCCCGGGGGCGAGACCACCAGGAAGGCAAACGAATTGTACCTCTCAGGAGGGGAAAAACACACAGACCCAATTCATCGACGATTCCCCAGAAAATATGG